GGTTTTGGGGTTTAGGGTGTGTAGGGTTGAAAGTGTAGGGTTTAGGGTTTAGGGTGTGTAGGGTTTAGGGTTTAGGGACCCTAAATTCAAAACCCTCAAACTCCAAACCCTACACCCCAAACCCTACACCCCAAACCCTAAACCCGAGACCGTTCTTTGTTCTCTCTGCGTCTCCTTTCAAATATTTAGGGTAAAGGCGCTAGGGTGGAAATCGGGTCTGGAAGGTTTACCGGGCGAAGGGATGTGTAGGGACTGGGGCTTACAGGGTTTAGGGAATGGGCTCAGGTGAGAGTAGCAGTCTTGACGTTAAAATGCTGATAACAAGAACCGCGGAAATATGTTAATATGATCTAGAGGCTCAACTCCTAGCATCCCCCTTAATAACCCCAATAATGCTCCCCTATATAATCCCTTATGCAACACCCTTCATGGAGTTTAGACTATAGCTCATAATTATTTTGCTTCAGAACACCTGCGCAGATGCTGAGAATCAGTACTGACCATAACTATGGAAGAAGCTGTCGGAGGAAAACACTGCGAAAAGCAATGGACAGTTTCCCAAAATCAGGGGGCTCCTCAAGGCTCCTTAATGGCAGAACCACCCATAGTAATAGCAATAACAGGAACACTAGCCAGACTAGTAATAACAATAATCGTAGTAATAAAGAAAATAGCAATAATAATCGTATATAAACAATAATAATACTAATACAGTAATAATCCCTGTTGGGTTCGTCCCCTGGTTTTGGGAAACTACCACTTGCTTCTCTGAGCCTCCGTCCTTCACATGGGTACCATGGCCAGAGAGAGATCGGCTAAGTCGCCAGACATACCATGGGCGTCCCGGAGCTGTCGCAGCTGATCCCCAGTCTCCTGCAAAACAAATTGTATAGGGCTAGTCCCCTAAATGCAAAGCCCGAAGCCCTTACTGCCAGCTCGGTGGTTCAAGCACGTACAATGAGATTCCTTTTAAAAAAATGCCCTGACTATTAATCTTACTCTTGGGCTTACGGTGTAGGTTTTTTTTCTTACTCTTGGGCTTGCGGTGTAGGTTTTTGTGAGTGTAGGGATTCTAGGATTAGGGCTTCAAGTATCTCCCAAAAAAAACTCTTGGCTGGTTTCCTCTGCATCTGCCTTTCCGACCTCCTTCACAGCACTTTCAATGGCAGCGTGCAAAGTAACAGCCGCGACATCCGCAGCTGGGTGCCCTGGTCGCACGACTCAGGGTTTTGATCTAGGGTGTATGGTTTAGGGTTATAGTCCCCCTTAAGTAGGTAGAATATGGCCTTGAGAATAATATAATAAGATCCCCATATACCCCATATTCTATCTAGTTAAGTGCAGGCGACTATAGGGTTTGCAGTTTAAGGCCCTAGGGCTCTGGCTGTTGGTCAGCAGGAAGTCGAGCAATGGCCAAATAATGGTAACTAAATTCTGAACAAAGTGCTTGTACTTGGTTTAGGGCTTAGGGTTCAGGGTTTAGGGTTACCATTTTGGGCTTGGCGTCCTTTTAGGTTGTGCCGGTTGCTGAGCGCCCTCTGCACTTCCCTACATGCAAGGTGATCAGCAATGGCAGTGGGGCGAGAATATTTCAGTACAATTCCAAATCCCCCTTCTACGTTTACTATAGGTGCAAGAAGTACTCTTATTACTACTATTGCCGTCACTATTACTTATGCTTTTCCTGGTACTACTACTCACCAGCCAACATTTGCAGTGGGTCACGCCTTGCTTCGTCAGCTCTTGCTGGAAGACCTTCCTGTCAGCAAGGTGCAGACTTCACTTACCATACAAGGTTATGGTTAAATGGGGATTATGTAGAGTTTTTTTATGTAGGGACTATATAACCCTTACATGAGTTATGTAAGGTTATAGAGGGATTATGTAGGGGCTCAATAGGGGTTATTTAACGGTATATGGGGGCTTATATGTATATATATATATATTCTTTGGGCGTATATCCTCCGCTCCAAATCGACAATGCAGATGATGCATGCCTTACACTACGCCACGCTGGAACCTCGAATTGGGCTTTGGGTTGAGGGCCTCAAGCCCGAAACCCTCCACTCTAAACACAAAACCCTCAGGTGTATCCTCCAAGAACCTTAAATCCGAAGAAGCTTCAGCTGTAGGACTCTAAGCCAGCAGTTCCTCATAGGAAATCCTAGAAGTGAAGGTCGTCTGCGTCTACCTGGAAACCCCAAGTAGGCTTTAGGCCTTAGAAAATTATGGCACCAACCCCCCAAAGCACGAGGCTGTGGTTTAGTCTACACACTTCTTTTGGTAAGGCATGCCTATACGGCAAGGAGACCGAGCGGGCTAAAACACATAGTGGATGAAGATAGGTGGGATGCTTGGGGCTGATTTCCTATGCCCCACCGTCCTTTACCTCAGCATCTGAGCCCTGAGACACCCCCCAACTCCTAAAACCCTCAAGACTAAACCCTAAACCCCTGCCTGTGCGGCTCTGAAACGTTCAAGAGGTCGGCCAGGTCCCCGAAGCAATCCGATAGGTATTCTGAGATGCTGCTAAGCTGGGGCGGTAGTTTGCAGGCCCCCAAAATTAGCTAGATATAGGTTCCGTTATGCAATTAGAGGAGAAAGTAGCAGATCTTCCATAATGCCGCCTCCTAAGGTATGTTGGGGGGGTTTAAGCTTCAGGGCTCTGGCTGCACAAGAAGTGTCAATGTGTGAGGCAGCATCATCATGTTTGTTCCATTTTTTGAGGATGGTGTTGAGGTTCCGGGTACAAAAACCATGGACTGTTGTAAGCGGCATGCTGTGGGATCAGCAGAGGGCTTGGTTTAGACTTCAGCGCTTAGGGCTTAGGTATGCGCAAAACATTATAACTGTTGTTCTGTGTTGGTTTCTAGTATACACACAAAACAGAATCATGCCTTCCCCATACCACGCCTCCCATGCTACCCCCACCACCGACTCCCCCCGTTCTCCTCAATAGCTATGCAAGGATACTTAGGGCAAATTCAAGGGCAAGCGAGGGGCGAGTGGTATGGGGGGGGTGTGATCAGGGCGGGTGGTGGGGGGGTGGGGTAGGAAGATCCACGAACACAGAAAAACCCAGCATTCTTGGATGGAAAGCTCTGGAGTTCAGGGGTTTAGGGTGTTGGCTTAGGGCTTTAGGGAGGTTAACCACTGCCCTGTAGCACACAGAATGCTTCACGACATGCATTTCTGAGCAGCCGATGGCCTTATCCTCTGAAGGCTGCAGTTGTGGGATCCCTGAAAATGTGCGGAAATGCATTCTGCGGCGGTTGAAGGTCTAGGACTAGGATTTTTAGGGTTGTGGGTGTTGAGGGTTTAGGGTTCAGGGTTCAGAGGCGCTTTCTCAGGTGGTCCCACGCTGTAATTCTCTGGTTGCCCAATGACACACATTTCTCAAGAACAGCAGCCCCATCTGGACCCAGCGGAAACTCGCGCGTCTCAACGCTAAAAGCCATAAAAAGCAGAGGGCAGAACCTCAATGAGGTGGGCTTCCCAGAGTTTGGGTAAACTGCATGCCAAGAAACTTTGCTTGAAATGCCTGAAAGCCGAGTCATCAGTTTTCCGGGTTTTCGCGAACCTGACCGCAGCGTGCAACAAGATTCTCAGCGAGACATGGATACTTTTCACAACGAGGGGCCCTTGGGGCTCTTAAGGGATACCGAGGTACTACTATTGGCAGTCTGATTCTATGGCAAAAACAAGGTTTGTACTCAAGGTTTAAAGCTTAGGATACATTTGGGGCGCTTGATAGAACAAACAGTTGCCAGGATATCCTAAGTAGGGTTAAACGATCATGCAACTAGCAGCAGACCATCATTTTATAGAACCTTATGCCAGGCAAAAACCAAAATCCAGGTGCTCCCATCATAAAATGTAGCATTTCTGCTAGGTTTCTACAGTTATACTACATAACTCCTAAGGAAACTACAGAAAAAACCGTTGACTTTTCAGATCACTACAGGAATGCCTTATGGTAAACAGGGCAGCGCTGATCGGCCTTTGGGACTTCGAGTGCGAGAGGTCTCTGTCCGGAGTGGCATCTGGATCTTTCTGATCTTCCACATCTTTTCCATCAACCACCTTGGCGAACTCAACCCAAAACCCTAAAACCCTGGACCCTGAACAAAAAAACAAGAACGTACGTGAACTCGTAGCCACGCGGTGACAGTCGCTTACCATTACTTCGGGTTTAGGGCGCGTTAGAAATTCGAAAAGTAAGGAAATTTTGGGAACCCTAAGTTATGGAAAGTTCACATGGGCTTGAAGGTTTAAGGTTTAAGGTATAGGGTTTAGTGCTGGCTGTGGAAAACAAACAGCTGGCGCCAACCGCATTGACAGCTAGAGCAACAAGCTGGGGCTTGGGAGGCTTAGGTAGATTTTAAGGCTTTGGGGTTTAGGGTTTAGCATTCCATAAACTGCAAAACCTTTGCAATTCCTGTAGAGAATCTCAGAACCAAGCCCTAAACCCGCATACGGCAAACTTTCGGATACATCTGCGTCAGAGACAAGTAGCCACCCGGAGCTTTCCATCCTCCAAATTCGGAGTTTCCGCATGCCACTCCCCGGGCAGACTGCCTTCGACGGATTTCTGCGTCAAACCGACCTTCCCCCAGGGGCTGCAATAAGGTTTCAGGATCTATACTGGGTTTAGGGTTTAGGGTTTAGGGTGCAATTAGGGTTCAGGATATATAGTGGGTGAAGGTTTAGGGACTGGTTCCTCCTTGGGATACTGGGATAATATAGCGTGTTCCTTTTTCTAGGTTTAGTATACCAGAAAGGAAAAAAGACCAGCAACGGTATTTTGATGTGATTCTAGAATCTACTTGCTCATGCTGGGAACGCTTGACGCAAAGCCTCATTTGGGGAACACTTTGCGACAGTTACCTAAACCCCAAATCCTAAACTCTCTGGTGCTAAGGGGGGAATGTGGGAACGGATTCCTATAGTAGTCCCTACATAATCCCTACTAATAAACCCTAATAATCATCCATTCCCCCAGTCCCCCATTCCCTCCTAAGCACCAAGCCTAAACCCTAAACCCCAAATCCTAAACCCTGTGCAACCAGCTGAACCTTCCACAGGTTTTCATCCGGATCGTACAGCATCCATTGGTCTGTATGGCACAAATTTCTGAAGAGCTGCCTGGCGAGCGAACATCTGCCAGGCACCGGAAAACCCCTAGAGTTTGTATTTTTCCTTTTTTTATGTGACCTTTTCTCCGTAGCACGAGTCTACCGAAATGTTACACAACATGGTCCAAAGACTGGGGTTTAGGGTTTAGGGTTTAGGGTCTAACCTCCTAGATTCCCCCTTAGGAACTCCGAAAGTCACCTATAGTATAGGGTCAAGGGTTTAGAATTACCCCTAAAAAGGTCGGTGTGTCATTTATATTGGCTTGGTCTGCTTGATGAACAAAGTCCTGCATGATGCTGCCATAATTCCCAGGATTTTGTCCATCAGTCCTAAATCCTGAATCCCTAAAATCCCTAGACCCTAAAATCCTAACCCCTAAAACCCTGCACCCCAAACCCCTAAAACCCTGCACCCCTAAAATCCTAAAACCCAGTAGAAGGTGTGCCTGCCAGTGTCATAATTGTCCTGCCGCACGTAGCATCCATCCAAGCGGTGGACGACACCCTTTGCACGGACGCTGACCTTTGACAAAGTGTGAAGGTTACAGGCTCGATGCACTGGTGGGGAGGGGATAGAGGAATGGATACTTATAGTCTGGGTTGCGGTTAAGGAACTTTAATCAAGTTACCATTATGGGTATACATATATAGTAATTAATAGGGTTTCCCCAATATTGTACTAATTGGATATGCTGGTTCTTCAGCCCTGAACCTCACATAACTTAGAAGTCTTCAGCTTCTGTCTGTTCCTAGATATCATACTAAAAAGCCTTTCCGATGTTCGTCCCCTATTACTTTAGTCCCCCTTGAGTAGATAGAATATGGCTTTGGGTATATTATACTAAGATCCCCCTATACCCCGTATTCTATCTAATTACTCAAGGGGGACTACGTATAGCCATCCCAGAGTTCATTATTCAAGGCTTGAAAGTCAGCTGCTCCTGCTTCAGATCAAAGGTGAGGTGTGGGGCAGGATGCAAGCAAGCAACGTCTCGTGCGTGAATGTAGTCCCCGTACATGGCATGGATAGGAGCCCCGCAATCAGCAAACCTGAGAAGTGTCAAGTTCAGGTTGGAGGGTTGTGGGGGGGTTATACAGGGGTTATTTAGGGATAATGCAAAAGAAGATGGACACTAAACTATTAATAGTGTATATGGTCATTATGAATATATAGGGCGGTTTAGGCCCACTTGGCAGCCACCTCTGGCAGACTGCCGCCACGTCTTCGTTCGTCAGCTCATCTTAGCTGACGGGTATGGATGAGCTAGACACATCAAGGGCTGCTTGCAACTGGCGCACATAGGCGTGATACTTGACAAGCTATCCCCTCTGCTTCCTGTACCAATTAACGAGTGCATGGTTCCCAGAAGAATCTCTCGAATGCAGCCCCCCCTAAACCCAAAACCTTCTCAAACCCTAAACCACTACCTTACACCATGGATCCAGCAGTTCTCCACACACTGCAACACGACTGGGATGCCTGCTGTTTTGTAAGTATCTCAGAAAGGAGCCAAAGACCCATGGCTGAAGCTCCTCCAGGTGGAAGTTTCCCTAAATTACTGTTCCCAAAATGGGGGAAAATTATATAGGGCCCCGTATTATAATAGGAACCTAAATATAGGACCCCGTATTGACAGTAATTTAGGACAATCCCCAGGTGGACAATCCCCCCAAGCTTAGGATTTGTAGAACTGCGAGGTTGAAGGCTTTAGGGTTTAGGGTGTAGGGTGAAGGGTTTAGGGTTTGGGGTTTAGGGTTTGGGGTTTAGGGTGAAGGGTTTAGGGTTAAGAGTTTAGGGTTTAGGGTTCAGGGTTTAGGGTTCAGGGTTTGGGGTTTTGGGTTCAGGGTTTAGTAGTGAGTAGCTCATGATGTAAGTATGCCGGGGAACCCTAAGTTTGGAAAAGGGGCTTCGCCTTGCGATGCAAAAGTTCCCCACTTCTTGTTTCTGTCCTCTACCATGATGCCCGGAGCAGAACTCTGAAGGTCGAACGTGCAACAGAGAAACCGCAATACCTGCAAACTACAAACCCTTAAGTCTAAGCGATCCCGGGAGCGGGGTCCAAAGTCGCCAAAAGCCTTCTTAGATGTTGTACCCCTTTCTTGGGTATGTAGGGGTACATAGACTATGTCAGGGCACAACCCGGATAATTAGATGGTGAGGGGGTGTATGGAATTGAGTATGGGATGTGGGGGCATTTCAAGCATTGCTCCTCCTGCCCCGGTCGCAGAAGAAGCTTGGAGAACTGCGGGTGCTTCGACAGGCCGTTGTGCAACATCAGGCCCTGCAACATACGTGTTTCTGCCCTTTTCTCTGGAGTCTACAGTAGGGATCTAAGTAGCGAGGGGTAGATAAGCGCGGATCTTCATTTTGAGACATACTTCAGACCAACCCACAGGAAGACTTTACTGCTGTTACTTTCAGATCGTCCAGCCCTCACTGACCAAGACAAGCCTTCTCAAACCACCCATTGCTTATGATGCTGAATTTCGCCGCCAGGAGCTGTTGTTCTGAATGGTTTGTGCTACTGTGACATACATGGATAGATGAGAACTTATCCTTGTAGTCCTTCATGCTCACATCCAACTTGGTCAAATGGTCAATTCCTAAACCCCCAACCTGAAACCCTAAACCCCAAGCCCTTAAACCCCAAGGCCTGAAACCAAACAACCCTAAAACCGTAAACCGCAAGCCCTTTGACCTTAAAACCCTGCATCCAGGCCTTAGTCCCTGCGTTTACATAGCGCAAGGCCGCCAGCAAGGAGGAGAGGCTGGGATGACATCCCTGCCGCTGCAGTATCTCAATGATGTCCCAAGAGCAGCCAACACCTGAATCTTACAGGGTAGTTAATAGGGAATAAGGGAATATGTTCTAATGTTTAGGGCCTAGGGCTTGAGAATTACTAGGGGATAAGGGCAAATATGATAGCGGCTTAGGATGTTTTAGGGGAAAGGGCATCTATTTTAGGATTGAGGGCTAGTAAGGAATACGGGAATAAATGCATCGTAGGGTGAAGGTTTAGGGTTAGGAGGGAATACGGGATGTATTATATAGGGATTATGTTCCCTGATTCCTTACTCACCACCAGTAAGGAATTTCTGGCGGCTCACTCTCTTTCACAACTAGCGACTTTCCGTTAGGTGTGTAAACACCTGTATTTGTTTGTGGGTCGGCATGTATTGTCTTGAAAGTAACAGCCCCCTAAACCCTAAACCCTGAACACCTGAACCCCAAATCAATCCTAAACCCTAAACCCGAGTGGCGGAAGGCCGTTGCCAGCATGGTGCTGGCATGGAAGGTGGTTGAGTCGACACCTGGAGCAATGCTGTGAGCAGTTCACGCCCCACAGGCCCTACACACCACAACGAAGTCAGCGGTGTAAGGTTGTGGGCTTAGGTCAAAAGACGAAAAGGAGCCCTAAGAAGACTCCTGACTACAGTCTTTAAACGGAAGCTTTTTGGAGTCCCACTTTAGCTTGAACTCCTAAGCCCTAAGCACCAGACCACAAACACTAAACCCTAAACCCTAACCCACCCCTGAACTACCTGTTACTATTACGAATATCGTTATAAGTATTGCTCTTGGAAGGACAGAGGACTGGTACTCAGCTTCAATTCCAAGTCGGAGCTTCCAGCAGCGTCCACAGGAATGTCGGTGAAGCGCACGACCCTCTTCTGGTCCCTGGTGTTTGGGTGAGGGGGGTTCGCGGTATAGGCTGTCTATGTTTTCTGGGGTTTGGGACACTTGGATGTAAACCCATGATTGATACAAGGGCCTCCCTATTGGCATCCCTGTCATAATCCCTATTAAGGGGAGGGTGCTGATTAATCAGGGGTCTGGGTTAGGGGTTTCAGGTTTTCGTGTTTAGGAAGTTAGCTTATTCCTAGCCGTGCAGCCCCGGAGGGACGCAAGCTAAACCAATGATACCCTCAAGAGAATCTTCGAAACGTTCATGAGATTTCGGGGTTTAAGGTTTCGGGGTTTAGGGTTCAGGATTTTAGAGTTTCAGGGTTTCAGGGTTTAGGGGTTTAGGGTTCGGGGGTTTAGGGTTCAGGGGTTTAGTGTTTAGGGTTTGTCTTCTAAGGAGTACCCCTCACGACTCATATGACCCATGCGAGACATGACAAACCAATCGATACTCGTGAGCTAGGTGTACTCCCAGCCGGAACGCCTGATACAACTATACATAGACGTCTAAACCGAAATTGAATTCAAACCGTAACCCGGCGGGACCCTAAAAAATCTAAACCCTGCACCCTCACTGCCAAAATTCTACACAATGAAAGAGCTCACCCCTAAGCCCTAAACTCCTAAACATTCAGCCCCTGAACTCTAATTTTGAAGCCGCCCCACATCGGTGCGACCCTGAGCCCCCAACCCCAGACCCTAAAACCCTGAACCCCAGACCCTAAACCCTAAACCCTAAACCCTTACCTCAAATCTCTAAACTCAAAACCCTAAACTCTACACCCCTAAGCCTAAACTCTACATCCTACCCAGTGGCGGATTGAGGATGTGATCTGCCGGCAGCCATGGCCTTACTGGCGCTTGAGGGAGTATGGGGGAGCTATTGCAGGGACGAGTATAGGGTTTAGAGTTTAGGGCTCAAGGAGGGTCCAAGGTTTAGGGCTTAGGGTGTAGGGTTTAGGAGGAGGGAATACAGTATGGGGGTATATGGGGGGGGGGATAATACAAAGGTGATTCTACAGATCCACTCCCCTGACTCCCTTAATGTACCAGGAAGTGGCTCGTAGTCTGGGAACTGCTCAGCGAATCGAAGGTCGCGCTTGCGAAGGAGGAATCCTGGATTGCTTTTGAGGTTGGTAGTTAAGGGTTTAGGGGTGCAGGGTTTGGGATTCGGGGTCTGGGGGTTTAGGATGATGTGGTGTAGGGCTGGGGGTCTAGGGTGTTGATCTTGGGTCTGGGGTTTAGGGTTTAGGGTAACATGAGGGCTTCTCAAATAATGGGCCTTACGGGCGCGTGTTTTTTGAGAATGTCCGGAGACACTTAGGACGACCTGCTGGCCCTGCTTAAGTTGCCACTGGATTGGGATTCAGAGTTCAGGGCTTTGGGTTTGGGTGCAGGACTTCAAATCTAAGCCGGGGTCAAGGGATTTAAGGCTTAGAACCACCCCTTTGCACCTTTTCTGTGCAAGCGTTTGGCTAGGGTGCAGGATTTAGGCTTTGGAGTTTAGGGTTGAATGCATAAGGTTCCGGGTTTAGGATTGGATTTTCACCAGGTCAGAATCAACAGGAAGAAACAGCTCTGCCAACTGCGTAACTCTGTAATCTGTAATCTGTGTTCAGCCAGAGTGCAAGGGAGCTAACCTCGCTATGCACTAGGGCAAGCTAGCTGGGCGCTACCTTCGGGGAAACCCGACAGGTCGGTACAGCAAGCACTTCTTTTGCAATCAGTCAGACTCACCGTCAGATTGGTAGAAGTAATCCTGAACCCACTGGTCCACCCGATCACGTTCGGCCTCGGTAGCATCAAGTCCGCGATGCCAATGCACCCTTTTAAGAATCTCATGGACACCGGCCCCTACGAAAGTAATCTTACAGGCAACATCTTGGCTGGGACCGCTCTTATCAAAGAGCATGGCCGTCCATCCAGGGCTGATGCTTTCCACTGCAAGAGGCAATCTGGGGCACAACCACGCGTGCGAAACTACTACGTTCACGGCTCCACATTGGGGGCACCTATCCAAAGAACTAGTCGGGCTCTCAAGGGCATATAAGCAAGAAGGCCAGCATCCTGTGACCCTGATCAGCCACCAAATACGCAGATGCCTCCAACTGACGGGGCTTAGTACAAGTCCAGACAACCAGGAGCCGTCAACGTCAACACCCAAATTTTGGTAAGGACAACCTAAACCAATTAACATCTTAGTAGCAGCAGAAGCGTACACGCGCTGATCCTTGGACACAAGGATCGGTCGCACTACTCTCAGCCTGTATTGCCGCAAAATGCTTTTCCGGACTTCACGGTTATACATGGCTTCCTCGAGCAGGGCCCCTGAGCATATTCCTGATTGAGCACTCGCCGGAATGTTTGCCTGCAGTTGAGGGTTGCGCATTTCCAAAAAGACTCTTTGAACCCATGAATCGCAAGGAGTGGTGGCTGCCAGCTCCACTAACTGACGTGCAGGGTGGTTACTCGGCATGAGCTGCA